TAATTTCCCACAGTCCCTGAGGTCATCAGCCCTTCATATCTTGGTAAGTAAGGAGCCTATAGGTTCTTTACCAGTTCACCCAGAGTCACACACCTTACTACTGCAGACAGGACTTGAACACAGGGTACACTGGTCCTAAGAGTGTAACCCTGACACCCCATCAACACCAAAGTGAATCTAAAGTAATAAGTTTTTACCAAAAAAAAAAAAAAAAGTGGGAGTCGGGGGAGAAGCAGGGTGGGGGGAGAAGCAGGGCAGGGGGAGCTGCAGAGATTACTCAGGGCTTAACAGCATGCACTGCTCGTCCACAGGACTGGAGTTGGGTTCCAAGAACCCATGTTGGGCAGCTCACAACTCCAGTTGCAGGGGATTCAATGCCATCTTTTGGCCTCACTGAGCATCTGCACTCATGTGTCCAAAGCTACACACACACACACACACACACACACACACACACACACGTATACATATTTTTTTTAAAAAAATTAATTTTGGGACTGGAGAGCACTGACTGCTCTTCCAGAGGACCTGAGTTCAGTTCCCAGCATCCACATGGTAGTTCATAACTGTCTATAACTCCAGTTCCACGGGATCTGATGCCCTCCTCTGTCTTCCGGGGCACTGCGTGACACGGGTGCACTTACATACATGGGCACATAACACTCATACACATAAAATAAAAATTAATTAATTAAAATTTTTAATTTTTTTTTGGGTCTTTTTAAAGACAGGGTCTCTCTGTAGCCCCAGCTGGCCTGGAGCTTCCTATGTAGACCAGGCTGGCCTTGAACTCACAGAGATCCACTTCCCTCTGCCTCCCAAGTGCTAGGATTATAGGTGTGTACCACCACACCCGGCTAAAATTTAATTTTTAAAAAATGTGATGAGTTTGTAAAATATCTTGTGTTGGACAGCTTCAGTTGTAACTTGACACACCTGGGGAGAGGGACCCTCAGTTGGGGAATTCCCTACTCTCTGGTACCAACTTCTGTCCTAGTTTGTTTTCTGTTGCTGTGATAAAACACTCAGACCAAAACCAATTTGGGGAAGAAAGGGTTTATTTCACCTACAGCTCACAGCCCATCTTGGAGGGAAGCCAGGGCAGGAGCTCAAGGCAGGAACTTGGAGGCAGGAGCTGAAGCACAGACCACGGAGGATCGCTGCTTACTGGCTTGCTCCTCTGCCTGTGCTCAGACTGCTTTCTTTCTTAAAAATATTTATTTATTTCATTTTTGGTCTTTTTAAGACAGGGTCTCCCTGTAGCCCCAACTGGCCTGGTACTCACTATGTAGACCAGGCTGGCTTTGAACTCACAGAGATCCACCTGCCTCTGCCTCCTGAGTGCTGGGATGAAAGGCATGCGCACCATGCCCGACCTTTATTTATTATTTTAATTTTATGTGTAAGAGTGTACTGCCTGCATGTAGGTAAGTACATCCATGCTGTGCAGTGCCTGTGAAAGTCAGAAGAGGCTGCTGGATCCCCTGGAACTGGAATTACAGACAGTTGTTAGTGACCACGTGAGTGCTTCGACTCGAACCTGGGTCTTCTGCAAGGGCAGGCAGTGCTCTTAACCTCTGAGCCATCTTGCCATCCCTCAGCCTACTTTTTTATTACAATACAGGACCACCTGCCCAGGGGTGGCACCACCCACAGTGGGCTGGGCCCTCCCACATCACTCAGCAATCAAGAAAATGCCCCACACATGGCCACAGGCCAGTCCAATAGAGAAAGTCTCCAACTCAGTGTCCTTTCCAGGTGTGTCAAGGTGACAACTGAAGCTGTCCAGCACACATTTCCACTCACTTTTGCTGCTAAATCCATTTTAATCACTCCTGAAAACACACTTGTGAACATTGCTAGTCAAAGGCACTTGAGCTGCTAGTGGTGGCTCATGCCTGTAATCCCAACCTCAGGGAGGCTGAGTTCAAATTACAAATTTGAAGCCAGCCTGGGCTACACAGTGAGACCCTGTCTCAAAACCACCACAAGAGAAAGAACTGTTGGCATGCACTTAGAGACAAGGCTCAGACCACCTTTCGAAGCGGCCTGGAGTTTCCTTAGGTTTAGGCCTGCTGGACTCAAGGAGAAACTCCACAATGAACGAACATGTTTACTGGATTCAGACAGCTCTTGTTCCTGCTGCCAGGACATTTCAATACCAGGGGACACAAATGGCCAAAGATAAATAATATGGGCTGTGGCCGTCAGAATGAGGCTACTCATAAGTGGAGGCTTAAGGTGGCTACAGAAGATGAAACAATTTTGCCTTTATGTTTCAATTATGGCACCACATAAAAATACTGCTGGGCCTCCTTAAACCACCAGTTGATCCTGTCTTTCTCCAGGTACTTCTACTTGGAACACTCCAGTCTTCCTGGCCTCCCTCCACCTTAGCATGGCTGCAAGGAGGCCTGGTCAGTGTAGGTGGATCCTTGCAAGCTTGGTAGGAAGAATTATTAGTCTGACTGGAGCCTCTGGAGAATGCATCACCACTGTTGTGACAAACTTAACCAGGACAACATAAAAACAGCTGTCATTTCAAAGGGGATAAGAGTATTCTGGAGCCAAATACAAGCAAGATGCAGAAACGTATGTTTAGGTTACTCCAAATTTCACCTTCCAACATGGTAATCCTTTCATGAAGGTTTTAGGTTATAGAACAAATATCAAAAATCAAAATCCGAGGGCTGGAGAGATGGCTCAGCATTTAAGAGCACTGGCTGCTCTTGCAGGGGACCTGGGCTTAGTTCCCAGCACCCATATGGGGCTAACAACCATCTCTAACTTCAGTTCCAGGGGACCCGACACCCTCTTCTGGTGCCTGTGGGAATTGCACAATGCAAGTGCACTTACATACATGCAAACGAAACACATAGACACATAAAATTTTTGTTTTGTTTTGGAGACAAGATCTCCCTATATCCCCAGCTGGCCTGGAACTCACTATGTAGACCAGGCTAGCCTCTATCTCTGAGCTCTGCCTGCCTCTGCCTCCCAAGTGCTGGGATTAAAGCCTTGTGCCACCACATCCAGAGCATAAAATAAATAAATAAAAAAAAATCACTTTTCAAATACACCAATGGATCCATCAGGCAGGCAGGTTAGAGCAAGGCAGGGGAACCTCTGCTACAGTCTCCAAAACTACCTGACAACGGTTTTAGCTTTTTATGGTGGAAGCTAGTGCTCTGTTAGATTAATACATTCCAAAAGGTGTCATTGTGTTTCACAAGAATGTTAAACACAGATGACCCAGGACTGGCTATTCCGGGGTGCTGAAGACAGTCCAAGGTATTAAGTATTTAGGCTCTGGACTCGCAACGTTCTCACCCCTCTAATCTGTGCTAATCTGTCAATCATCCCGTAAAGTGCAGCTGGCTTCTGCACACTTGCCTTCCAAATGAGCATCTTTCAGAGGCACAGCATTATCTAGGGCTGCAGACGAGTAAGTGGCTCCACTGTGTGCACAAGAATGACAAGGGCAGAGCTCAATCCTGGGGATGTTAGGCCCACGGGGGAGCAGCGACTGCGAGCGCACAGGGCACTCACCTGCCTGTGGTCCTTCCGGGCCGCCATAGCCGGACTCTGTAGTGAGAGTCGAGCGCCTGGCAGGCCTCGGCTGACCCTCCCCACGCGTGTTCTGATCCGGCCGGGTGACCTCGGCCACCGGCCGCACTCGGGGGCGGTGGAAATGGCGAACAAGTCCCAGGCGCCGCCCTTGGCCGGGGCAGGCTGAAGGACGCCTGCCGAGAGGTCGCGGCCGGGCGGGCGACAAGACCCCACACGCTCGTAGCGACGTCAGGAAGGAATTCGTATCCTTCTGCCCGGCTCGGACCCGGGCCACAGGCCAGGAAAGTGTCCCTATGCCCCTAGGCGTTCAGTTAACCCAAGCCCTAGGAACCGAAGTGCTGAGGCAAATGGCGTCCGCGGCGAGCAACCCGGAAGTTGCTCCGTCCTTGGGCCCGTGCGAAGCCTTCTGGGTAATGTAGTTTTCTTTATTACTACGTCCTTCGAGGCCGGGAGCAATTCTCCTAAAAAGTCTCGCATATCTTGAAAGGCGCTCCAGGGTTCCAGTTTCTCTCCAATGTGGGGATATCCGGACAACCGAGGTTGCGAGGAAGGACCCAGGAGCGAGGGTGAGACGACCATTCTATCTGGGAAACTGAGGCTTGGGAGGACAGGGAGATTTGCCCATCTTCGGGTTAATGCAAAGATGTGGACCCCGGCGCTCAGTTGATCTCTTGATTTGTCCCTTCTAGATACTTCCTGCTGGGAGCATCTTCTCGGCAGACGACAGAAAATGTAGCCTAATAGTCTCCTTGATATTAGGAGGCCTCATCCCCAGCATATTCATCCATTTTTTCCTTTTCTCCTAGGTCTTCTGTGGCCCAGAGCAGCCCCCACAGATGCAAGGATTTCTGGGTCACTAGGTCATTGGAAGCCCGCGAGGATTGGATTTGTCACCCCCTGACTTGCGAAGCCTGCAAGGTAGAAGGTTTAGAGGGCTCAGGCTTCCAATTTCGATCATAGTTTGAATGTCTCTAAGACCAGAAAGTATCTGTGTCGTATAGGCAGTTCAGCCTGTGTCTAAACACTGGGAGAGGATTCAAACCGAGGTATATCAATTTGAGAGTTGAGAGCTTGAGGTGGTGGCTCAGATCCGTAATCCCAGGACACCAGAGAGTGAGGCAGGAGAATTGCTGTAAGTTCGAGACCAGGTGAGCTGTCTTCTCTCTCTCTCAGTAAACTATATACCACTCTTAACTTCAAAACCTGGCATAATGACACATACCTATAGATATCCCATAACTTGGGAGGTAGAGGCAGGAAGATCAGGGCTTTAAAGCCATCCTCAGCTCTGTAGTGAATACAAGGTCAGCCTGATCTACATAGTGAATGGACTACGGACTATGCTCTCAATTTTAAAATTACATTTACAGCTCCACTGTTGATTACAGACTTAAGCCATCATGTCTGCCTTATTTTTATTTTAATGTCTATTTTATGTACATGAGTGCTTGCCTGCCTGTATGTACATGTACCACGTGCATGCAGTGCCCACAGAGGCCAAAAGAGGGTGTTGGATCCCTTGGAACTGGAGTTATGGATGGTTGTTAATTGTCATCTAGGTACTGGGAACCAACCCCCTGGGTTCTCTGCGAGAGCAGCCAGTGCCTTTATCGGCTGAGCCATTTTCCAGTCCCTTATTTTATTCTACTTATTTTTTTAAAGGACTCTTTGATTTGTATTTCCCTAATTACTAAGGATGTTGAACACTTTTTTACATGTTTCTTAGCCATTGTTTCTTCTATTGAGAGCCCTCTGTTAAGAGCCATAGCCTCCCCTCTTTTTTTTTTGTCTTTTTGAGACAGGGTCTCTCTATAGTCCCAACTGGCCTGGAACTCACTATGGAGACCAGGCTGGCCTTGAACTCACAGAGATCCACCTGCCTCTGCCTCCCAGTGCTGGGATTAAAAGTGTGTGTCGCCATGCCCAGCCATAGCCCATTTTTTAATTGGGTCATTTGTTTCATACTGTTTTCCATGATGACTGTATTTCTTGCATTCCTACCCACACTGTGGAAGAGTTTCCTTTACACTCTTGTCAGGACTTACCACTTGTTTTTTATTATTGAGACAGGATCTTGCTATGTAGCCCAAGTTCGCCTGAAAGTCATGGTCTTCTTGCTTCCATTGCTGAAGTGCTGGAATTATAGGCATGACATGACAACAGTGTCTTTGAAAAACAAAGATTTTATTTTTATTTATGTATCCTGTGTGAGTTTATGTGCACCACGTGTATGCAGGTGCCCACAGAGTCCAGAAGAGAGCAATGGATCCCTGCAATTGTGAACCACATGATGTGGGTGCTGGAAACTGAAACCTGGTCCTCTACAAGAGCAGTATACATTCTTGACTGCTGAGCCATCTCTCTAGCCCCTCTGTCTTTTTCATAATTCGCATTCTAACTGTACTGAAGTGATACTTTCCTGAGGACTAGTGGTATTGAACTTTCTATTTTCAAATACTTGTTGGTCATTTGTATGCCTTTTGAAAAATGTCTTTAGATCTGTTGCTTTTTTTCTGAATTGGAGGGTGTGTGTGTGTGTGTGTGTGTGTGTGTGTGTGTGTTGATTTGTTGGAGTTCCTAATATATTCTGAGGGGCTGGAGGTATAACTCAGTGGTAGATCACTTTCCTAGTATGTACAAGGTCCTGGGTCCAATCCCCAGTAGTACAAATAAAAATGTACACTAATACATTGTGAATATTGATCCATGCAGTAGTAATTTTTGTTTTTCAGAGCTGAGGACTGAACCCAGGACCTTACGCTTGCTAAGCAAGCACTCTACCACTGAGCCAAATCCCCAACCCACAATAGTAATTTTTTAAATTTTAGAATATTTTTATTATTCCAAAGAGAGTCAATTTTTAACACATTTTCCCAGAAATAACTTGAAGCAGGTTACATAAAAATATGTATACAGGGCTGGGAAGATGGCTCAGTGGTTAAGACACCGACTGCTCTTGCAGAGGACCCAGGTTCGATTCCCAGCACCCACATGGCAGCTATGAACCATCCATAACTCCAGTTGCAGGGGAATCCGAAGCCCTCTTCTGACCTCCTCAGCGTTGTATGACACAGGTATACTCACATACATGCAGGCAATACACTCATACACATAAAATAAAAATAATAAATAAAATATTAAAAAATATATATACAAATCAAAGACCAAAGGATTTGCCAACATGGGGTCAACTTTGGCAGAATAATGATTAGCTCTGTTCTTTTTTTTTTTTTTTAAATCCTAACGATTTCATTGGGATTGCTAACAGCATAGAATGGGGGTTTACTTACAGAAGTGTGGACACCCCCAACCCCCATTTACGGCTGTGCTGGAAAGTCCACACTCAAAAATAAATCCTATAAGCAATAGTAATTTTGTATGCCAACTAAGTGTTCTTGAAAAACAAGCCAGTAAAGCAATCCTCTTGTAAAAAATATCTGTATGAGTGTATTGCCTGCATGTATGTAAGTGCACCCATGTCAAACAGTGTCCTCAGAAATCAGAAGAGGGCATCAGATCCCCTGGAACTGGAGTTACAGACAGTTGTTAGCAGCCTTGTAGGTGCTGGGAATCAAACCTGGGTCCTCTGCAAGAGCAGCCAGTGCTCTTAACCACTGAGCCATGTCTTCAGCTCCCCACCGGCATTTTTACATGAGATCTGGGGATCCAAACTTACTCTGGTCCCCAATGCACTCATGGCAAACACTTTCAGTGGAAATTCCCCTTGAGTGGCCCCTAATTGGTCATAAATTTGCAGATATGGGTAAAACAGGAAACTGCACCCTCTGGAGAGATGGCTCAGCAGCTAAGAGCACTGGCTGTGCTTGCAGAAGGACCCAGGTTCACTTCTCAGCACCTACATGGTGGCTATCAACTTCCCGTAACTCCAGTTCCAGGGGAATCTGGCGCCCTCTTCTGACCTCCATGGGCATTGCACAACACAGGTGCACTTACACACATGCAGGCAGTACACTCATACACATAAAATAAAAATAATAAGAAAATTAAAAAAAAAAGAAATTCTGATTTTTTTTCCTTCGTGGTTCTTTTTCAGTTCTGTGCAGATCTTCCCAAGATTGTCTTGGCTTGAAAAACACAAAAAAATGAATGATTCTCAGGTAAGACTATATGTATTGGTCTAGACCTTGAATCCAGTGACTGACCAGCAAAGGTGGGTTTTACTCTGAGCTATATCTCGCTAGCCTGTCTGGTATGTTTTATTAAAACTTGAAATCAGCCTGGGTGGTGGTATCCTAGGCTACACAGTGAGATTGAGGTCAGCCTGGGCTACTTGAGACCTTACCTCAAAACTCAAAAAATAGGGGTCAGTAACATAGCTCAACTTTTGAGGTGGCTCCGCAGGTAAAGGCACTTGCTGCTAAGCCTGATGGCCTGAGTTCCATCCTTAGGACCCACATGGTGGAAAGACAGAACCAAATCCGGCAGGTTGTCCTCTGACCTCCATATATATACCCACACATGCACACAAAATAAATAAGCTGTAATAATAACTTTTAAAAATCTAAAACATAATCCTAAAAAATAATAAAGCTGCAAATCATTATATGCATGTTACATTATAATAAACATGTCATATTCACAGTGAGCCTCTGCTAACCGTTTTGCTGTGTTTTCTACCTCCCTTGCCTTTATGAAAAGACATCACACACTCCGATTTCTATCTCTCTGTCCTGTTGTGGTGGTGAACTGGACCCAGACAAGGCAAGCATTCTACCACTGAGTTATATATTTAGCTACTTTTAAATTTAGTTTAAAATATTTTTGTTTGTTTGTTTGAGACAAGGTCTCCTTGTAGCCCCAGCTAGCCTAGAACTCACTGTGTAGACCTGGCTGGCCTCAATCTCACAGAGATTGGCCTTCCTCTCCCTCTTGAGTGCTGGGATTAAAGGCATGCTCACCACCATGCCCAGCTCCCCCACTTTAAGCTTATTTTATTTTTTATTTATGTGCGTGTGTGTGTGAGGGTGTGTGCACTTGCACACAGGTACCCTTAGACTCTAGAAGAGGGTGTTGGATATTCCTGGACCTGAAGTTACAGGCAGTTATGTGCCATCTGATGTGAGTGCTCATAAACAAACCCACGTCCTCTGGAAGAACAGCAAGAATTCTTAACCACTGAGCCATCACTCCACCCCCTTTTGTTTTAATTTGTACAAGGTCTTGCTGAGTTACCCAGACTGGCCTTGAGTCGACTCTGTAGCCCAGGCAGACCTTAAATCATAACCCTTCTCCCTTAGCCTCCTAGGTAGCTGGAATTAGAGGCATACAGGCTCAGCTGATTTCTCCTTCCCTATCAAAACTAAAACATTGAGTAAAACAGGACATTCTATCTATCTATCTATCTATCTATCTATCTATCTATCTATCTATC